TGTGTATGTGTGTGTTTGTGTGTGTGTGTGTGTGTGTGATGTGGTAGTGCATGACTAATTTCTTTTCAGAAGCAGAAACTCTTTTCTATGTTTTGTGGTCATTGTTATAGTCTCTGTTCCACATGGGACGCTCACAATGTCAGACAAAGAAAAACAGATCATAAAGCCATTAAACCCTTTCTTTATTTAGACTAAAAAAGGCCAACACATTACCAAAAAACTTGGTTTCAAAGTGGAAACAGATTGTCATTGCATTTCTGCTGATGCCATGGCACATTTTTTGTGCTTTTTTAAAATATGAACCAGTGTTATGTTAGTATCACCTTATAGTTTTTATTTTCCCATTTTTAGTTAAAGATTTAGTACTTCTGTTGGTTTTGTCATCTTGAATAGGCTATTTTAAAAAATATTTCAATATATTTGTATTATTTTTTACTTCATTTTTTTTCATTAAGATATAAAAGAGCAACATATGAGCAATAACATTCTCCCGTGAAATTGTAACAAACCTTTCTGTTTGTTTTGCAGGGGAGAAACCTTCAGGTCAACATGAATGCATTGCTAAACCTGATGCTGCAGCTTCTAGCTGCTCTGTGCTGTGCTGCAGATCCCACAGTAAGTGTGTGTGTGTGTGTGTGTGTGTGTGTGAGAGAGAGAGAGATAGATGTACAGTAAATGGATGATATCTGGATTGATCAACATTCTGCATCTCTGACAGGTGCTGGATATCAGACAGAAGCGAGGCACGCGCACATATAGAGGTGAGTTTTATTCTGACCTCTCAACTTCATCTCTGGCTATGTTGCATGTACTGCATGTTATTTCTGCAGTATGTTGTCTAGGCATTATTGCTAATTTCCTTTATGCATGGAATACAACAGTGGCAAACTCACATGGCCAGCAAAACACATTTGCTGGTGTAACACATAAATAAATAAATTTCCATTTTATTTATCTTATTTGCTTATTTTTAACGTATTGCTTATTTGTTTATTTCTGATTCTGTCCGCTGTCAACATGCCCGGAGAGTGGCGAAAATTAATTATGAGAGAAAACATTGTCCAATCAGAATTTGTCTCAAGCGATTCGTAGTCTAAGCCCCGCCCCTTCGAGCCTTTCTTGACAGTACGAATGATTCAGAATGATTAGAATATAATTGATTGTCAGGTTCATCAGCCAATCAAATTGTTGTATTTGTACAAGTTGCATACGTAATTAGAGCGCGATCAGTGCTACAGTTCAGCTTGACCGTATTTGACGGAAAACTATTTATTTTTACTTCAAATAGTCATTGGAAAGTACTTTTATATTGCTTACGAGAGGTTTCCTGAAAATCAAGGCTGGCTGAAGCATTCAGTATCATGCCATGTTTGTCAGTGGCTTGGTGTCTAAATTAATCTTTGAAATATCAATAGTTTGTTTTGACTGTAACTCGACTAACCTAACGTTTCAGTAGCGTGACAGTAAATTAAAGACAGCTGTGTTATTGTGTCATATGCTATTATGGCTTCTCTAATAACTAGCTACCTTTGCCAACGAGTGCGACTGAGTCAGATTCATTCTAGTGAATTGATTTATAAGTGTCAATGAAAAGTCCAATTCATTATAGTGATTCGGTTTGTTCGAACTGTTTATGTAAATGAACAGATTCAGAATCGATTCGAATCCCACAATGTTTTAAATCAGTTATATGTAAATTAAGATGTGCTTATATACTGTTTGATACTGTCATCTTAATTTAGATTCATTAATTTATGGCTCTTAATTAAATTGATTAAATCATCATATATCAATTTTACGTATCATTTGACTCATATGACTGCCAGAAGTCATTTTTTAAATGGATTAAAAATTTACAGGCTATGTACACAGGAAAAGCATACATGTCACACATTCACAAGCAGAACTTCAGCATTCAGGACAAACTCATCAAGACTGTCTTCTGCTCAGAATGCTGTCTTTCATTTTGTCCTTTGTTTGTTTCTGTCCTCTCTGTCTTTCCCCAGTCTGATGTGGAGGAGAAGGCTTGAGTCATTTAATTTGCATCTATCCCTGACCACAACCATAATGTCTTAATTTCTGTGTCATTTTGTGTCTGTGTGTGTCAGACGCTTGTGTGGACGCTAATTCGGCTGCGGTCAGAGACACTGGGGCGACGTGGCTGCGATGGAAGGGTCAGAAAGTTGAATTCTGCCGCTGCGCCGTACGAGGAAGAGTACGCTGTCATGAGATACCAGTGACCAGTGAGTGGTCACACACTCTACCATACAGCTTTTTATAATAGACTAACCTTTGTAAAGAAAAATAAACATTTATTATTTGATTTATAAAATAATAAGTGTGTATAAATTGTAAAATGTATATACTGTGTGTGTGTGAGAGTGAGAGAGTGTGTGTGTTTGTGTGTGCGTGTGTGTCCGCTGGATGAAAAACAGCTTTTGTGCAGCACCATCTATTTTAATTCAAATCATTGAAATTTGAGTGTAGAGTCACCCAGAGCATCCCCTCCCCATGAGTCACTCGCTCAAGCAGATCCAAACTATATTCTCATCCTGCGGACACAGAAAAAATAACTGGAATTAAAAACACGTGTGATTTTCAATTACGGCACAGTATGATCCGTGCTACGACTTGACCACAGTTTATTGATCCTAATGTTGTAAAAGTTGTTATATTTCTAAATATAAAATGATGTAATCATTATACAAAACCACTTTACACCCAATTAATTACGAATATTTTGGAAAGACCACAAATGTTCGTAGCACACTTAGAATAGCATTTCGAAGCAATAAAATAAATGTCATTTATTGAACTCAGAAATAGTCCACAATGGACACACAGGTGTTTATTATTCTGTTTTTCAGAATGTTTCGTGTCTAAGTGTTATAATGGAGGGACGTGTAAAGAAGCTGTTTACTCCAATGACTTCATCTGCCTGTGTCCGCCCGGGTTTACAGGAACACAGTGTGAAATCAGTAAGCCATCAGCATTTGACCTTGCAGCAAATACAGCTGTTTATCACTGTGTAGAGTTTTTTTAGTTATACTAATTTTACTTATATTTAATTTTGTTTTTGCTTTGTATTATTAGTTGGTAGGAAAATTTGTATAACTTACTATATTTTAGTATATTAGTATAACTTACTATTTTTTTGTATTATTATTTGCTAGTATAAGTAGTATAACTAGTATAACTTACTATTTTGTTGTATTATTATTTGCTAGTATAAGTAGTATAACTAGTATAACTTACTATTTTGTTGTATTATTATTTGCTAGTATAAGTAGTATAACTAGTATAACTTACTATTTTGTTGTATTATTAGTTGCTAGTATAATTAGTATATCTAGTATAACCTTTTTAGTATCATTAATTGCTAATAAATTTTGTGTAACTAATATAACTTATCATTTTTAGTATTATTAGTTGCTAATAAATTTAGTGTGACTAGTATAACTAGTATTTTAGTTGCTAGTAAAATTAGTGTAAGTAATAAAACATACTATTTTTAGTATCATTAGTTCCTAGTAATGTAGTTGTAGTATTATTTGTATTATAGTATTGCTATTTATGAACTGTTTTATTAGTATTAGTTGCTATTAAAATTAGTATAACCAATATAACCTACTATTTTTAGTTTTATTAGTTGCTAGTAAAATTGATGTAGCTAGTGTGATTTACTATTTTTAGAATTATTAGTTGCTAGTAAAATTAGTGTAACTAGTGTAGCTTGCTATTTTTAGTATCAATTGCTAGTATAGTATAACTAGTATAACTAGTATATACTAGTATAACTTACTATTTTTATTATTTGTTAGTAAAATTAGTACAACTAGTGTAACTTGTGCATTTTAGGATTATTA